GTGGAGCTGGTGCCCGGCGTGGAGATCCGCGAGTGCAGCCATGCCCCAGGCCGCCTCCGGGGCAGCAGCAGCGGCGGCCGGGGCCGGGGCGCGGACCGGAGACGCCGGGGAGCCGGCAGAGACCCCGGAGGGACGATGAAGCGGCAGAATGTGCGCACGTTGGCGCTCATCGTGTGCACCTTCACCTACCTGCTGGTGGGCGCCGCGGTGTTCGACGCGCTGGAGTCGGAGCCGGAGATGATCGAGCGGCAGCGGCTGGAGCTGCGGCAGCTGGAGCTGCGGGCGCGCTACAACCTTAGCGAGGGCGGCTATGAGGAGCTGGAGCGCGTCGTGCTGCGCCTCAAGCCGCACAAGGCCGGCGTGCAGTGGCGCTTCGCCGGCTCCTTCTACTTCGCCATCACCGTCATCACCACCATCGGTAACTACTCACCGCGCCAGAGGGGACGGGGGTGGAGACCCGGGGTGCTGGGGAGCCGCCCGCAGCTGGGGGGGGGGGCCCCTGCGCAGAGGGGCCGGTGCCAAACCCGCGCGCTCCCGGCAACGGAGTCTCAGCCCCGGGTGTCTGCTCTGCCGGGACCCGGACTCCCTCCAGGGAGGCGTCGGTCTCTGGCTCCCGACCTGATCGCCAGTCCCGCCAGCCCTAACTTGGCCTTGCCCGGCTGCGCGAGGGTACCCCAGGGGACTCAAGTGTGTGAGAGGGACAGGAGCGGCTGGCCAAGGCTCTGGAGGAGGGGTGTGGCCCGGCTAGGCCCTGGAGATAAGCGGGAGTGAGCGGCAGGGAGTGCGCCACTCCTCCCTGGCCCGCCATGGGCTTTGGCACCCGGGTGTCCACATCTGCTGGCTTCAGGGAAGCACGTAGATGCCCGGAACGAGGCACTCCGAGACGCACCGGGCCACTCTAACTGCGACTGTGAGTGGCTTGAGGGGTGTGTGCGTGTGTGTGTGTCTGTGTGTGTGTCCCCGTGTGTGTGGGTGTGGGTGTGGGTGTGGCGTGAGTGTGTGACCCTCTCCAGGACTTTGGGCCCCACCAGCCAGGGTCTGTAATTCTCTTAGGGCAACAGAACAGAGACTGGAAGCCAGATGCAGCCCTGTCAGCCTTCTTTCCCCAGTGTCCCAGCACAACAGTCACCTCCCAGGAATGGCTAGACTTCTTTTCTAAAACCAGGGCACATCACCCTGTAGAAGGCCACATGCACACCCAGGTCCTCTAAGAACGTGGGCACAGGCACACAGGTGTACACACACACACATACACACACACACACACACACACACACACACAGAGTACACAAACAGATGCTCTGGGAAGGCATCCCCACCCAGGCCCTTCACTGTGCTGCTCAAGTGTCCAGCCAGGAATACACATTTCATCCACTCCCAAGACCCTGTGATTGCAGCTCAGCTCCATCATGATCCCACTGCATCACCGACCTTGGGCAAGTCCCTTCTGCCTGGATCTAGGGCTCATGTTCCAACAACCAGAGGTTGGCCAAAATGATGTCAAGGGCTCTTTCTAGCCTTCACATGCTTGGACTCTGAGAGTGGGAACCCATCTTCCCCCAAAGCCAGTAGGATGTCTCCGGGAGCTGCTTCCTCCATCTTCCCCACTCCTCTCCCTGACCCCACCCCCCTTGCCTTGGCTGAACTCCCAGGGGCTCACTGCCATTTGGCAAAGCCCATGGCAAGATGGCAGTGTTTTCCTTGGAGTCAACAGGAGTCAAAGGGGTAAAAGGCAGAGATGGACATCGTCTGTCCACTGCAGAATTCTGTTCTGAGGTGCTACTGCTCACAGGTTGGAAGACCTAGGGCCCTAGGTTTGGTCTGGGGTCCCTCCCCTCCTGCACCCCACTGCCACCTGCTTGGGGATTTCACAGTAGGTTAGCTGTCTGTAAAATAAGACTGAGCTCCCTATACATCTCTCCCTCTTCCCATACCAAGTTCTTGATTAGTGTGACTTTCCTTCTCAGTCCCCAAGTCTCCAGCTCCACAGTAACCTCTCATCTGACCTCCTTGCTTCCTGCCTCATCCTCACAGCAAATCACACCCGCTGAACAATGTTGCCAGAAAAAAAAAAAAAACAAAAAGCAAACAACAAACTCATAAAACTCATCTGGAGCTGCCTCTTCTCTAGAGATCCCCCATGGCCCACAGACTCTGCCCCCTGCTCCTTACCCAAAAGGTAAAGATCTTTGTTCCTGGCTCCACCACTGTGTCTGACTTCATCTCTTCTTACTTGCATGACACCTCTCTATGGCTGCCAAACCACTCCCTGAGAACAGCTTACACGCTCATCTCCAACACACCTTTCCCACAGTGTTCTGTTTACCTTATCCAAGCTAGCACTCTAAGTTCAGTTCAAACCCCACCCCCACCCTAAGCCTCACAAGCCACTGCTCTGAAAGACTGCAGGATTTACTGGCAAGACAACCCAGTACAGGCTCTTTTAAATGCTTATTTACATTTTAAGGAGCATGTTTTGCCTTTTTTGCCAGGGTAGAATTAATGTCCATGTGGGTAGAGCCCTATACATCTCACCACTGTACTCCCAAGTTCTAGCACTGTGCCCAGCAGCCATGCGTGCTCAGGGAATGCTATTGATGGGTTTAATGTGTACAGAAATGACAAGCATCATCCTTCCCCTCCATCCCTGCTGTCGCTTTCCAAGTGCCTTTGGTCCTCACCTAGAGAGATACTAAAAGCTAGGGCTAGAGGCAGAGCACCATCCTGGTGATTATTTATTTATACAGAGCTAGGCAAGAAGAAAGACCATCTCCCCAGTTCAGGGGTTCCCACTTGCTATTCCACTCACCTCTCTTTTGTCACCTCTCATTGTGGCTATGCCACCTAGCTGTCCTTGGGATACAGTCTAAGAAAAACCCTGCTTGGGCAGTGATGGGATGCCAGGAAGAGGCTCTATGTTAGACTGTTAGTAGACTATTCCTGACCTGAAACTCAGGAGTACCACCCACCTGCTTCCTTGGGAAGCTCTTGTGGGCAGTTCCACAGAGTGGGATGATAACAGAGCTGCCATTCAGCTGGTACCTAGTGACCACAATGGTGTCATCTCTTGGTTGGAGCTCAGTCTTCACAATTCAGTAAGGTTACCAGGGCAGGAAGAATTAGCTCTTTTAGTTGGAGGAGGGGGTACATGTTAGGGAAGGGAAGAGAACCCCTGTCCAGAGCCACCAGGCTAATGAGCAACAGAGTCAGAATCGGAAGCTGGATCTTCTGATTACACCCAGGGCTGTGTCCCTGCTGGCTCTTGGCTTCATCTTTTGCTTCCATATGCTATGAAACCCAGGCCCAGCTAGGCCTGGCAGAGCTACCAAGTGCCCAGTGATGCCAACTGGAAGGACATTCACAAGCAGTCCTGATTGGCTGAAGGTCAGCAGGGTCTGACTTAGTCATTTACCTGGTTAGTCACACTCTCCACTCCCACCCCCTCATCCTTGTCCTCCCAGCCAGGGAACCCTTCTTTCCCTGTTCTCCAAGTTCACCAGACACAAATGGAAACTCTTTCCTTGGGAAACCTCGCCCTCCCTAGTGTTGAGTCATCACACTCCTCCAAGCCCCAGCCCCCTCTATTCATAGCCCAAGGCTGTCAGAGCAGGAAGGGGCCTGGGGATCAGCTAGTACCACCACCTCCTCCTACAGAGAAGGAACCAGATGGGGTGACAAGAGTCACACAGAGGGGAGACAAAACCTGACTCCCAGGGCCCCTGGTGCCTCTTTACCTTTTACTACTTGTGTACTTCTATTTCCTTATTTTGCAGTGCTAGAATAGAACTCAGGGCCTCTGCATGCCAGGCAAGAGCTTTACCACTGAGCCCCAGCCTGTAACAGCAGCAGTAGCCACAATAGCAATGACAGATTTTGTTTGTTATCCGCACTCTCACAGGTTCTATGCCCACACTTTATTTGTATTCCCTCATTTAATTCTGACCAGTCCTTCAACATGGACTTTATTGCCCCCACTTTTCAGCTGAGGAATAGAAGGCTCTAAGTCACTCACCAATGGTCTCAAGGCTTGAAAATAAAGCACCTGAGCAGACTCAGTAGGCCCTTCTGACTACTGTATTCTAGATTTTTCTGTCAGTTCTTTCTTCACTTCAAACGCAGCCCAGACCCCTTGGTCTCAAGACACCAAGACATCCAAGCTGGCTCTTCCATAGCCAAGCATCCCAAAAGAAAGGAGCCTGTTCCAACCTGCTGTTCTCCTGTAGCTCAGTGCCTTACCCAACAGATACGAGCTATATCTGTGCCTAGCACCAGGTTGTCCTGAGGCTGCCTGGGGCTCACAGGTGCCAGTTCTCCCACAGCCGGCCCAGGGAATCTTTTTGGCTCTAAGGCAACAGGAGACCAGGTGATTGATCTGCCAATGGAGCCCAGGCAGGAAAACTGTGCTGTTGCTTTCTGGCTTCCAGCCCATCCTCAACTGAGCACAGCCTGCTATAGTTCACCACACAGCATGAGAACCCTGAGACTGGATTCAAGCAGGTGGCCCAAGGGCAAACCTGTGCCTTTTATATCTTTTCCAGAAGTGACCTGCTATTTCCCAAATCACAGAACTCTATAATTAAAAAGTAAGAAGAGCTATTAGAGAACATTTAACCACTCAGACAAGTGACTAATATGCCCAAGGTCACACAGCAAGTCAAGTGCTTGATAAGACCCAAGTCCATAGAGGCCAGCGTGGAACACTGAATCAGCCTGCTCTCCTCAGACCCTGCCACTCTCAGCACTGAGGCCTCGTGCACATTCTGAGCCTACTCTTTACCTCCCTGGGGAAAGGAGGAAGACATGCATCCTAGGATGGTCCCTGTACTTTCTCAGCACTGCTTTGCTTCCTGCCCACAAAACAGCCCCTCTGCTTTGACCCCACAAGCCTTTTCTACAGGGTGGTGGAGGATCCCTCACCCTGACTTGGAAACCAGAACATCTGGCTTCATCTCAACCCATTCTCCATCCTCTACCCTGCCCTGCCTTTGGTTGTATGCTTCAGACAAGTTATTAAATCTCTCAGATCGTTTTGTCAGTTATAAAATGAGAATAAAATTATCAGCAGGAAATAATACTCTCATGCAAAGAAAGTGTCTGGTAGAGCAGAGCTGATATTTAATAGTATCTGTAATTTTTACTATCATTAATGTTATTGTTCATGGAGTATGATTTCCCCCATGGAGGGAGCTGCTCTGTCTCCCCAGGGTTACCATGGTGAAGTTACCTCTGCTCCTTCCTAACAGATAGGGACAGTGTGGCTAGGGGCCAGGAAGCTGCCCTTTGTCTTATCTTTCCGATTCCAAGCAGACTCAGTAGAAGTCTACTGATTCCTAGGTTCCTCATCCCCTCCCCCATGCCTGGAGCCTGCCTGACATGCAGGTTCAGGGACAGGTCCACCTCTTCTGAGCAGACAGACCC